ATAGATAGATAGATAGATAGATAGATAGATAGATAGATAGATAGATATAGATATAGATATAGATATAGATATAGATATAGATATAGATATAGATATAGATATAGATATAGATATAGATATAGATATAGATATAGATATAGATATAGATATAGATATAGATATAGATATAGATATAGATATAGATATAGATATAGATATAGATATAGATATAGATATAGATATAGATATAGATATAGATATAGATATAGATATAGATATGATCAGTTATTTAATTAGGTTCTTGGCAAAAAATTTAGAACACTAATTTGTGAGGATAAACTCCATTTGTAAGGGCAAACATGGATTGCAGGTAGCCCTGGAGCTGAGGAACAACTTTGATTTTGGTAAAATTTGTGAGTCCACAGCTTTCTGACTGTTGCTCTGAAATCTTGTATTTCTTCCTCTCTGTGTGGAAGATCTCACCTTCCTGTCTGGGTTTCCACAGTTTCTTTTTCTTGAAGTAAGCATCGGTAAGGTGCTTTGGGATTTTTACTTTGCCAATATCATTTTTGTGGAGGTGGCAATGACAAATTTCTGATGTGTTCTATGCAGTGGAACTCGATTGAGAATCAGCAGCCCAGTTACAAGTAGCAAGCCGCTGCTCAGCTGCTTCAGGAAAACCACTCTCTTGCCTCTGTGGTGTCCAGTGAGGATGATCAGAATGGTCCCAGGAGTGATGCTAACTCACAGCTTTCCCACATGCTGACTGAAGGTTTTTTTGCCGTAGCTCAACAGCTTTTGAGGCACATCTTCAGTAGGATAATACCTAGGAATTTTGCGCAATTTAACCACTCGGGTACCACCATTCTTGTCTCCACCAACTGGTTTTGTGACAGTCACAAGAACCTTCTCTTTTTTCTTTTCGATCCTGGATTTAGTGACCGAGTATTTCCTCTTGTAGATGACCTCCCTGGAATACATGGCAGACCGGGAGTATCTGCCAATTCTCCGGACTAGGACAGGATATCGACTCCAATGGGGCTTCCCCTTCTTGGGCTTTTTAGCCTTGGGGTCACCTTTTTAACCTTGCCACTGGTATCAGCCTTCTTAGCTTCAGGTTTCTTCTCCTTAGTGTCCTGCTTTGTAATTTTTTCACCTGCCATCTTGTATAGTGGGAAAGAGAATTCGATTTCAGACTTAATTTCTATGGTATTTGAGAAGTCATTCAGAAGTAGGTTGTTTAGATTCCATGTGTTTGGGTATTTTTGAGGGCTCTTCTTGAAATTAATATCAAGTTTAATTCCATTCCAGAGAAGATGCTCGATATAGTTTCTATGTCTTTTGATCTGTAAAGGCTTGATCTGTGCCCTATCATATGATCAATCTTTGAAAAGGTTCCATGTGGGGGTGAGAAAAATGTGTATTTTGTAGTCTTAGGGTGAAAAGTTCTATAGATGTCTGTCAAGTCCATTTGATTTATAGTATCATTTAAGTCCTTTATCTCTGCTTATTTTTTGTCTAGAAGATCTGTCTAAAGAAGATAATGGGGTATTGAGATCCCCAACAATTGCAGTGTTGCAACCTGTCTATCCTTTTAGTTCTAGCAGTTGTTCCTTAATGTATTTAGGTGTTCCTGAGTTGGGTACGTAGATATCATAAGCAGTATGTCTTCTTGATGAATTAGCCCTTTTACTACTATATAATGCCCTTCTTTATCGCTTCTTACAGTTTTTGTCTTAAAGTTTGTTTTGTCTGAAATCAGTATTGTGACTTCAGCCCTTTTTTGATTTCTGTTTGTATGGAATACCTTTTTCAGTCCCTTCACTTTTAGTCTATGTATGTCTTTATCCATAAGATACATTTCTTGTAGGCAATAGATAGAGGGCTTCTGTTTTTTATGCTGTTGTTGTTTGTTTGTTTGTTTGTTTTTTTAAGCCATCCGGCCAATCCATGTTTCTTTCTTTTTTTTTTTTTTTTAAATTTTTTTATTTTTTTTGGAGGGGTTTTTTGTTCCCTAATCTGTGTTTCTTGATCAGAGAATTTAGTCCATTAACGTACAGCATTATTATTTTTTTGAGAGAATCACCCCCTGGGGGGATGGTCATGCCACAGTCCTTTCTCCTCCATTCTCCTCTCGGGATCTTGGGCACACACGCACATCTGTCCGGCGTGAGTTTAAGCCACCAGATCCAGGACTCAAACCACGATCAACTACATGGTAGTCCAGTGACATAGCCATTATGCCAACTACTAGTCCCAATGTACAGCATTATTATTGATATTTCCAGAAATGTTCCTATCATAAGGTGAGCCATTTTCTTGGTTCTTTTTTGTTCTGTTATATCTGTCTGTCTGAATTTAGTTTTCCTGGTATAGCATTGCCTTTAGAACTTCTTGAAGAGTCAGTCTGGAGTTGGTAAATTCTTTCAGGTTTTGTTAATCTGAGAATGTTTTTACCTTTTCTTTTCATATGAAGGATAATCTTGCTGAGTATGGTAATCTTGGTTGAAATTGTTTTTCTTTTAACACTTTGAATATATTTTCCCATTCTTTCCTTGCCTACATTGTTTCCAACGAGAGGTCTGATGTTAACCTTATGGCATACCTTTTTAAGTAACTTGACTTTTCCCTCTTGCCAATTTTAGTATCCTGTCTTTGTGGTTTGAGCCAATCTATGATGGGCCTTGGAGAAGATCTTCTTGGGTTGATTCTATTTGGGGTTCTTTGTTTTTCTTGGGTCTCAATATTTGAATGCCTCTTTAGGTTTGGAAACTTTTCCTCCAGGTTTTCATGGAATAGATTATCAATGCCCTTATTTTTTTCTTCACCTTCTAGGATACCAGTTATCTAGATGTTTGGGTGCTTAGTGGTATCTAGTATTTCTCATATGTTGTCCTCATTTTTCTTGATTATTTTCTCAGTCTTTTTGATACTTTTTTTCTGAGTCAGAGATTTTTTCTTCTACATTCAGGATTCAATCTTCTCCATGATCTAATCGGCTTTTAATACTTTCGAGGGAGTTTTTAATTTCCTATATTACAGTCTTTATCAATTCCATTTTATTCTTCCTGTTTCTTCTTTCAAATTGTGAAAAGACTTCCTCGTTTCCTTTTGCTTGTTGTCTCTTTTCTCTTGCATGGCATTTAGTTTTGTCACTATAAATATTCTAAATCGTTTATCTGACATTTGCATGAATTCTATTGTAGTATCTGTGGAATTGATGTTTTCCCTTGGAGGAGAGATATTTTCTTGATTGCTCATATTTATTGTGCCTCTGTGGTGTTTTGCAGTTATCTGGTGATTTATATGTTTTATTTCTTAAATTCTTAACGTTCAAAGGCATGTGGGAGTAGGTGATTGGCAATCTCTCTGCTGCTCTGCCTCTCTGATACTCACCAGCAACCTGCTCTGTTGTCACTGGATTCAGGTGATTCAAAATTCTCCATTTCTAGAGAACAGGTGTGCCTGGAACTAAGTTTCTGAGCTTTAATTGAGGAAGACAGAAGGTATTGCACAGTGCATCACACTTCAGAAAATGCTGAAGTCTTAGAAGTCAGTGCCTGTGGCAGGGGATAAACTACAAAGTCTCTTTGTAGCTCAGTCTCCCTGCCACTCAGTGCAGCCAGGCCCATAGCTGGAATGGATGTCTGGTTGTCCAGATGGGATGAAGATTGAGGCAAGGTCTTCTCAAAGTCCCAATCAACACACCTGAGAGTTCGAAGGCGAGTTGGGGAGGGCTAAGCCACATGTCTCTGTAGCACAGCCTTACAGCTGCTAACAGCTTACCTTACGGGAAGGCCCTTCACTGCAATGGATTTCTCAATAGAGCATGGAGGGGTACAAGGTCTTCTCAGAGTCCCACTCTACACATCCTAGAGTTCAAAGGCGAGTTAGGGAGGGGATGAGCCACGGGTCTCTACAGCACAGCCTTCCAGCCACAAATGGCTTGTCATATGGCAAGGTCCTTCACTGGTGGAGTGGGGAGGAGCACCATGTCTTCTCAAAGTCCCAGTCAACAACCTGGGAGTTCAAAGGTGAGTGGAGGAAGGGAATAGCCATGGGTCTCTGCAGCACAGCCTTCCAGTCAAGAAAGGCTTGCCTATGGCCTAATTGTTTTTTAAATCACATTAATTGGGTATTGTCACTAACAAGCAAGATGAAGCTGCAAGATTAACTAGAATTTGTAATCAAAAGTCAATGAGGGTAGACTCTGAGTCACCTCCTCCAACACTATGTTCACTGCAGATATTTCCCCTTAAAACTCTTGTCTTACCAATCTTCTGGTCACTCTACCAAAATAGAGCTAGGCTGCTGTGTTGGACTCCCACCTCTAACATTTAATATCATTCTTTTTTTTTTTTTTGAGAGGTTTTCGCTATAGGGCGCATGCGCTCGCCAGGCAGACAGAGAGAGACAGAGAGACAGAAAGTGAGAAATCACCCCCCGGGGGGATGGCCACGCTGCAATCCCTTCTCCTCCATTCTCCTCTTGGGATCTTGGACACGCATGCACATGCGCCCGGCATGAGTTTTAAGCCACTGGGTCCGGGACGCGAACTGCAGTTGACTATGTGGGAGTCCAGTGACATAGCCATTATGCTAACTGCTGGTCCCCTTAATATCATTCTTTTAGAGAAAATTATATGGTCATTATGAGCTTTACTACCTTTACCTACAAAATGTGGATAATAATAATAATAGTAAATACCTTCTAGGATATTTGAAAGGATTAAATGAGTTCGTATGTGTATATTTCTTAAAACAGTACCTTAAATAGTTTTTCACGTAAGAGGTTGTCATATAATGAGTGTTATCTGTGTATTTCCTTACATCATTATCATATTCATGTTTATCAATCTCCATGTGTTCAACATGGATTAGTTTGTGTATATTGTTCATCTTCTGCTCTGTATTCTTTGTGTCAAATTTACTTTTTTTTTTCAGATGAGAAGTTTGGGATTAAGACTTCACAAAAAAGAATTTCTGGAAAAACTACTTTTCACAGTGAAATGAAAAGTAATGATATAAGAGATAATTCATTGGATTCCATTTTAGAAGAACTATGGCAAGATGCTGAACAGATAAAGAGATGTCAGGAAAAACAAAACAAACCTTCGAGTCACGCTACTTTCATCAATAAGAAAGTATCAAGTACAGAGTGGGATTATGACTATAAAGATATTGGACAATTTGTGCATGCAAGCCCAAATCTTATTCCTTCACAGAAAAGACCCCATAAACATGACTCATTTGGGAAGAGTTTTAAGCATAATTTAGACTTACATATTCATAGTAAAAGCAATGTAGTAAAGCACTTTGATAAAATTATCAGACATAATCAAATTCGCACCCAGAGCTCTTCTTGTACTAACCATGAAAATACCCATACAGGAGTGAAGTTCTGTGAACATAATCAACGTGGAAAAGTCCTCAGCCTCAAACACTCACTCAGTCAAAATCTGAAACTTTCTGTTGGGGAGAAACCAAACACATGTACTGAATTTGGGAAGATCTTCACCCAGAAGTCACACCTCTTTGTACCTCAGAGAATTCATACTGTGGAAAAATCCCATGAACTGAGCAAATGTGTAAATGTTTTTACACAGAAGCCACTGCTCAGAATATATCTGAGAGTTCATGGAAATGAAAAACTATATATATGTACTAAATGTGGGAAGGCCTTCATCCAAAATTCAGAATTAGTTATGCATGAGAAAGCTCATACTAGAGAGAAACCCTATAAATGTAATGAATGTGGAAAATCATTTTTCCAGGTGTCATCTCTTCTCAGGCATCAGACAACTCATACTGGAGAAAAACTCTATGAATGCGGTGAATGTGGGAAGGGCTTCTCCCTGAACTCAGCCCTCAGTATACATCAGAAAATTCATACTGGAGAGAGACATCACAAATGTAGCGAGTGTGGGAAAGCCTTTACCCAAAAATCAACACTCAGGATGCATCAGAGAATTCATACAGGAGAGAGATCCTATATATGCACTGAATGTGGGCAGGCATTCATCCAGAAGGCACACTTGATTGCACATCAAAGAATTCATACTGGAGAAAAGCCTTATGAATGCAGTGACTGTGGGAAATCCTTCCCTTCTAAGTCACAACTGCAGATGCATAAGCGAATTCACACAGGAGAGAAGCCCTATATATGCACTGAATGTGGAAAGGCCTTCACCAACAGATCAAATCTCAATACTCACCAAAAGTCACATACTGGAGAGAAGTCTTATATATGTGCCGAATGTGGGAAGGCCTTCACCGATAGGTCAAATTTCAATAAACACCAGACTATTCATACTGGAGAGAAACCCTATATTTGTGCTGATTGTGGGAGGGCCTTTATCCAAAAGTCAGAGTTAATTACACATCAGAGAATTCACACTACGGAGAAGCCTTATAAATGTCCTGACTGTGAGAAATCCTTCTCCAAGAAACCACATCTCAAAGTACATCAGCGAATTCACACAGGAGAGAAACCATATATATGTGCAGAATGTGGGAAAGCCTTCACTGACCGGTCAAATTTCAATAAACACCAGACAATTCATACTGGAGATAAACCCTATAAATGCAGTGACTGTGGAAAGGGATTCACCCAGAAATCAGTTCTCAGTATGCATCGCAATATTCATTCATGAAAGTAGCCTCATTTCTTGAAAATAAGAAAGCCTTATCGCAGAGGTCAGATCTACTGTATGTTATAAAATTCATCCAATATATAGCCTCTGTGAATATGTTGTATAAGAAAAAGTATTCATCAGTCTATCTCACCGGAGATGAGAAAAATTTAATTAGAAGAGATCCTCTAAAATGCATTATGAAGCAGAATTTTCATATTTGCGTGGTATCACAAAATGTGATAGAATTCATATTGGATAAAATTCTGTCATTTGATGCATTAGGAAAACCCTTCCTAAAAAATATTATAAGACAAGTTATTAACAAATTCTGTGTAGGAAGGAGGGCACAAACTTATGCAAATGACAGTCATGTTTTACATTTTATATTAAGAGATTTAAAATGAAAGCAAAGTAATATAATGGATGCATAGAGCTACTGTCTTTCCTGTAGGATTTTTGTGGCAGAAAACATTGCATAACAAGAAGAACAATTGATCTGAAATTCTTTTTTTAAATTTAGAATAAAAAAATTGTGTCCATCAGACCAGCCCACAGCCTGGTGCTTAATGTTGCTGGATCCCGCATGACCAACCATGCAATTCCAGTCCTGGATCTGGAGGCTTGAAAAACATGTCAAGCACATGTGCATACCTGGCCAAAATCCTGAAAAGAGGGAGAGTTGGAGAAGGAATTGCAATGTGACCATTCCCCATGGGGGTGGGTACTTTCTTTTCTCTCTCTCTCTTTTTTTTTTGGAGAGGTTTTTGTTATAGGGCGTGTGTGCTCGCCAGAGAGACAAAGAGATAGTGAGAAATCACCCCCCAGGGATGATGACCACGCTACAATCCCTTCTCCTCCATTCTCCTCTCAAGATCTTGGGCACACACGCACATGCGCCTGGTGTGAGTTTAAGTCACCAGGTTCAGGACTCCAACTGCATGCAGTCAGCTACATGGGAGTTCAGCGACATAGCCATTATACTAACTGCTGGTCCCGGGGGTGGGTGCTTTCTCACTCCCTCTCTCTCTTTATTTCTTTCTGGCAAGTGCACACATCCTCCAGCAAATTTTTTTAATAAAACATATTGTGTCCATCAAATATGTTTCTTATAGAATATTTCTATCTGGTGAACCCACAATTTGAAAGCTACTTTGGTTTTCTATATACACACATCTACAGATATAATCTTACATGAACACATAAATATAATCTCACACTGGCTTCCATGGTATAATCATCTTATCTTCTCTTATTATGGTACAGTACAAAATAGTGATAGATTCCTTCAATCCTTTTATGTATACCCCCTTTGCAATATTTCTATTATTAAGAAGTGGTATCTCTATCTCTACTCCTTGACTTTGAACTTGGCTATGTGACTTGCATTGGCCAACGAAAATTAGCATAGCTGGTCCAAGAAGAGGTTTAAAAAATATGAAAAGCCTGCCTTAAAGCTTACCCTCTTTTGCTAATCTTTGGAATCCTGAAGATTCTATGTGAAGAAGCTCAAATTGCTGTACCAGGAGATGTGAAACCACATGAAGCAGAGGCGAGCCAGCCCAGCTGAGCCCCTTATACCAAGCAGCTTGTGCACTGTCAGATTTTCCCAGATCTCCAACCCCAGCCAAGCCAGCTCATCCCAGTAGAGTCATACCAGTTATTCCAGAAAATTTGAGGTATTGTAAGATGAATAAAATGACTGTTTTAATCAATTAACTTTTTGGGTAGTTTGTTGTACAACAAATGCTAAAGTAATTTTTAAAAGTGTTTGGAGAGTTATTTATGGATTCTCTATTGTGTTCCATTGGCCTATATGTCTGTTTTTGTGCCAGTACGACACTGTGTTAATTATCTCAGCTTTGTAATATAGTTTGAGATCAGAGAGTGAGATGGCTCCTACTTGCACAGTATATGGATGGCCGAAATGCATAAGAAAAATATAAAAAGAAAAGTATATGTGTTGGAGGTTATTGTATCAAAACATATGTCATGTGACATTGGCCTTGGGCCTGAGCAGTAGGTGGAAGCTGGAAAATCAACAGGAAGACTGTTAACAAAGGCTTAAAGAGATGGCAACGCATATTATTTAGGAAGAAAAAAATGGCAAAATGGTCCACATGTTCTGTGGGAAGATAGTGAATTTGTCAACTGAAGTTGTGGATTTGCAGAATATAGAAAATGTCAGTTTGCTTCTTTTACCTGCATGTAATAAGGTACAGAAAGAAAAATGAACTAAAGACATATCTGTTCCTTTAGCAAGCAAAATTTAGAAGAAATACAGAAAAGCCAGGACTTGCTGGGTTGAAAATAATAGTTTCACATCACTAATGTCTCTACTCATTAAAATATTCTCATAGTTTAAAAAAAATGTCTCAGGGTAAAGATCAAATCATGTGTGTGTCTACGAGACACTTTATTATAATGTGAGATATTTAAGTTGGTGTTTGGGAGACCCTCTAAGCTAAAGTAGAGGGCTTCTAAAACTTCTCATGACATTGTCCCATAGTAGTATCCTGACACACTGTTCAAAATAGTGAGAAGCCTAGCTTGAAAAAATATGTTGTGGTATTTGGGGCATGGAGTAGATCCAAAGCAGATTCGTAGGAAACCCATGAAGTTTTGTTGTTGTTTGTTTTGTTTGTTTGTTTTTTAATAGAGCTTTAGCAGTGAAACTATCTTCGGTTTGGATCTAATGGAACTAAAACAGCTGAAAGTGAAAAGTGGCCTCTAGACTCTTCTCCCTAACTTCTATGAACTTCAAAGTGAAAAGAGACCTCTAGACTCTTCTCCCTAACTTCTATGAACAGGACACAAGCTGAGAAAGTTACTCAGCTGCGAAAATTGCCATTTCCTTTGGGAAACAAGAGACATCTCAGAAGGGACGATCTAAGAATAATATATTAAAGTGGACTGGGGAGTCATTCCCAGAGACAACGCTCCTCTATAGTATCTATAGTCAAGAAACATTGTTCTGGAGTCAGGAGAACTGGCAACATTTGCTCTGTGAGATTTCAGAATTGTTATGGAACAGTGACTGAAAGGTACCTCTTGTTACTACTTTTTTTTTTTTAATTGGAGTATCTATTGTAGTTATCCTGTCCCTATCTCACCATTGTGTGTGTGTATATATAGATAGATAAATAGATAAATATATTGTATGTGGTGGGGAGGGTCATATAACTTATCATTTAGTTCACAGGTATCTTAATCCAGAAACTGAGAAACTATACCCAAGGAGCCTCAGACACATCTGAACTTGATACAGAAGAGTCGAGATCTTGGATTTGAGTTTGATGCCATAATTTTGGATATTTGGAGATCCCACAATGGGGGTGAAGATATTTTGCATAGGGTGGTAATGTGAATAATTTGTGACCAGAAGATACATTGTGTTAAATAGAAAAACGAGGCAAATTTTTCTCATCCCTATGTATGTGTGTCCCTTTTCAAGCTTTATTTCTTATCATTTCTATCAATCTTATCTTCTAGTTCACTGGTTTTCTCCCCACTCTGGCTCTGTCAAATCTATTTAGAAACTTATTTAAGGCATTCTTCATCTCAATTATGTTTTTTTAAAAATTTCTAGTATTTCCACTTGATTTAACAGTTTCCACATTTCTGTTGAAATTCCCCTCTGTTTATACATGCCACTCACATTTTCTGCTATACACCTTGTTTTAGTCAGTTTGTGCTACTGTAACAAAGCACCAAAGACTGGTGGGTTATAAACAACAGAAATTTACTTCTCATAGTTGTGGAGGCTAAAAGTCTCAGAGCAAATGACAGCATGATTGCATTCTGGTGAGGGTGCTCTTCCAGGTTGCAGACTGCCAATTTCTTATTGTATTTATCCATGGCAAAAGAGAGCTAGAAAGTCGTATGTGACCCCTCTTACAAAGGCAATAATCCCATTTATGAGAACTCCACCCTCATGACCTAACTACTTTCCAAAAGCTTCACCTTCTAATACCATCATAATGGGCATTAGGATTTTAACATTCAAGTCTTGGAGGAACACAAAAATTCAGCCTATAACACCCTCTAACATATTAATCATAGTTATTTTTAAATTCCTGTTCAAATAGTTCCAACTACTAGATCAGCTGAGTCTGGATCTATGAATTGCTTTGTCTTTTTGAAGTAGGTTGTTTTCTCTTGCAGTTTTGCATCTAATAATTTTTTGGCTGAATGTTGGACACTGTATGTAGGACAGTAGAAACAGAGATAAATAGTATTTATTCCTGGATAGTCATGGCTCTTCTCATAGGTGTGGGGGTTAATCCCATTTCATCAGAAGTTGGGCTGGTTTGGGATTTTGTTTTATCCATTTTTACTATCTGTGTACCATAGACTTTTTTTTTTTGGGAGAGATTTTTGCTATAGGGCGCATGCGCTCGCCAGACAGACAGAGACATAGAGACAGAAAGTGAGAAATCACCCCCTAGGGGGGATGGTCACGCCGCAATCCCTTCTCCTCCATTCTCCTCTCAGGATCTTGGGCACACACGCACATGCACCCAGTGTGAGATTTAAGCCACCAGGTCTGGGATGCGAACCGCGGTCGACTACGTGGGAGTCCAGCGACATAGCCATTATGCTAACTGCTGGTTCCCTGTAAAATAGACTTTTAATTTCCTGTAATGTTACCTTGTGCTTAGAGTAGGTACTGGTTTGCCAGAGGTTTTTTTTCTCAATGTTGCTGGGCCACACTTGTCTCTAGGCCTTAGCTGTGTCTTGCTTTATGTTCTTGTCTCTCCCTTAGTAGTATACTGTTATCAGTTCTTGCTGATCTGGTGAGCAGGGGACATGGAACTGTTGTGGGCCAGCCTCATTTCAGTCAGGCCCTGATCCCTGAGCCTTGAGTGTGGGGGCTTTTCAGTGACCCTGCCTCTCCTCCACTGATAGAGGGCCTTTAATGGTCTGGACCCAGGGAGGGTTCCTGCCTGTCTATCACAGGGGCAGAAGTTTGTTTTTCCTTTTTTCTTCTTCTTGTTACAGTGGCTGTTCACCTGTATCCTGAAGGCAACAGGGTTTTCCACACTTCCCTAAGTGGCTCAAGACTTTTGTTCTGAAGAGGAATAGGGTCTCATTGGCTATACCACAAAGGAAGGCTATCTACAGTCTGCTTTCCCTTACCCATTGTTTTGTGGAGGTCTATGGAGGAGTCTGCAAGTGTAAGTCAACTACCCTTCAGTTAACATTTCCCACTCAGCCTTTGGCAATTCATTAAAAATCCTTGCTGAATTCTTTTTCAGTTTTTTTTTCCTTTGTGATAAAGCACATACACACTATCATGAATAAAGTGTGGTGTGTGTGTGTGAGAGAGAGAGAGAGAGAGAGAGAGAGAAATGCCTTTCACAAGATCTGTTCATGCCACAATCCCCTTTCTTCATTTCTCCAGCCTATAGGATCCTGGGCATTTATGCACATGCCCAGCATGTCCCAGGATGACTAGGGATTTGAATCACAATCACCATGTGAGATCCAGTTAATTCTTTTTTTATTGGAGAGGTTTTTGCTATAGGGCGCGTGTGCTCGCCAGAAAGACG